AAACCAGCGGCAGAACAAGCCATAAGAATCACAGCTTGATTCGCCTGTCAGTCGCCGACTGTCGATGTTGCTTGCTCTTCTTTCTTAATGAATAAATAAACAAATAAACACTCGTCTAACTAACATTGATGTGTCTATTTGTGTCGTCTTATCTAATTTTCACTGGGTTGCAAAACTTAATTGATTAGATTTCCAGTCAAAATGGCCATTTAGTACATCCGGAGATGTTTCTGAGGAGATATGAGATAATCCACTTACATCCCTGCTGAAAAACGACCATTAGAAACCATTAGGATTAAAAACCCAGTGGTTTTGCCTTCCAGTGGGAACTGGCTTAATAGTTTTCAATAGAGTTCCATCAAGTTTTCTGTAGAACACCTTTAGATCCCTTTAGGAAACTGTTAGATGCATTTGGAATCAGCCATTGGTCACCTGTTAAACCATTAGGATCCTTTAAGTTGTGACATCAACCCACTAAAAAAGCCAAAACACATTACAAGACTATCAGGAACCAACAGAAACGCTTAATGGTTTCTATGGGTTTTTTTAGTAGGTTTAATTAAGGAGAAAGAAAGAATGGAAGCTGTAATAGATTTAGTTTTTCAGTTGTAGCACAGAAAATGGTTCTATATAGAACCATTAACATTCAAAGAACCCTTTGCATGATTATAGGGTTCTTCGCGTCATGAAAGCGTTCTTCAGATTGATGGAGAACATGTTGTATGTGGTTATATCTAGCACTAAAAGGGTTCTTATCTAGTTACATTGTCAAGCTTGTAATAATAGAAGAGCCATTTTTGGTGATATACAGAACCTTTTCCAAAAAGGTTCTATATTGAAACATATACATCCCATTCTTCATCAAACTGAAGAACTATTTTACAATGCAAAGAACCCTATAATCATGCAAAGGGTTCCTTGGGTGTTCATGGTTCCATATTGAATGATTTTCTTTACTTTTTCAGTGTTTAGAGCCTTTTTGAAAAGGGTTCTATATAACACCAAATAAGGTTCTTCTATGTTACAAGCTTGACATTGTAACTATATAAGATCCTTTTTTTGGTGCTATATAGAACCATATACAACACATTCTCCATCAATCTGAAGAACCATTGCCCCTTTTAAGGAACCAAATGGTTCTTTGAGCATTTATGGTTCTATATAGAACCATTGTCTTTACTAAAGAACCCTTGAAGAGCCATCATTTTTGTGATACATATTTAGAGGAGTTGCGTAGTCTAGTTGGCTCATACATCTATCCATCCATTCATCATCTAAACCGCTTATCCTTCTGGGTTGCGGCGGGGTGCTGGAGCCTATCCCAGCTGTCATTGGGCGTAGTTGGCTCATACAGCACTGTACAAAACTCAGAGACCCTTTATTTATTTAAGTTCCAGTCAAAACAGCCATTAAGTACAAGTTACTCATTTTTCAGGAGAAATTTCTGAGAATTAATGTAAGATAATTTCAACTAAATAATGAAGAAGAAAGTCAAAGCAAACTAATTGAGTTTCCAAAACTGGAGTTCAAAAAACTGATTAAAAGCTACAGAGAAAATGAGGCTCCTAACAACCACCTGGAAGAGCTGGTAGACCCCAAAACTGCCCCCCATCACAAAAACGGTGAGATGGAGAACAAGAGACCAAAGAAACCCACAAATGTGAGAATTTTCTCCGTTAAAAATTACAGTAACCACTGTATTATCTTAGTTTAATGTCGTTTCAGTGTATTTTGGTCCTTTTCTTCACAACATGCAGGAAAAATCACTAGTTGTGCTGATGTCTCAGTAGCTAGCTAACTTTCCCATTCCACCTTAAATGGTGCAGCAGTTACATTCTGAAGCCTCAGGCTGGTGAATATCTGACTTCAGCTTCGTATCAGTGAAGAATTAGAGGTGGGTGATAATAAATAATTGCCCCCCTCTTTGAAGGCATATGATGTCCTAAATGTAACTAAAGCCCAGCAGTGAGGAGCTGAACTTTACCCTCCTCTGCTGTCACTGCAGACTGGCAGGGGCGCCTACAGAGCAGCGCCAGTAGCTGTTAATGAAGTGATGCTCTTTTTATTTGAGGGTCCCAGCAGCACTGTTGTGTCTGATCCACTCAGACCAGCGCAACACACACTAACACACCACCACCACATCAGTGTTACTGCAGTGCTGAGAATGATCCACCACCCAAATAGTACCTGCTCTGTGAGGGTCCATGGGGGTCCTCACCACTGAAGAACAGGGTAAAAGGGGGCTAACAAAGGGGGCCTGACCGGTGTATGTGTTATTTGACCCATGGATTTGTTGAGATTTTTTATTATGGCCCTTTTACTGGTTGAGTTTGACACCCCATTCTAGAACCTGGAATTTTATCACAGTTGATTGCTATCATATTATACTACACTTAAAAAGACGGTTCTTCAAGGGTTCTTTGGTAAAGACAATGGTTCTATAGGAACCACAAGCACTCAAAGAACCCTTTGCATGACTCAAGGGTTCTGTGCATCATGAAAGAGCTCTTCAGATATATGGAGCATGTGTTGTAGATGGTTCCATACAGAACCTTTTTTGAAAATGGTTCTCTATAGCTCCCAAAAATGTTCTTCTATAGAAGCATCCTTTTGGGTGCTATGCAGCAGCCTTTTCAAAAAAGGTTCTACATAGAACCATCTACAGCACATTCTCCATATATCTGAAGAACCATTTCAGTCATGCAAAGGGTTCCTTGAGTGCGTGTGGTTCATATAGAACCATTCTCTTCACTAAAGAACCCTGATGAACCTGATGAAGCTTTTTTTGTGAGAGTAGAACGGCGCGCTGCCTGTGAGATCGGACTGCTAGCCAATCACAGCACAGGAGGCGGGACTTCGCCAGCCAATCGCGGCGCAGCGACGCCCCGCCCCCTCCCGCACTCTCCTTAAGTACCACAGTCACGCTGAGCCGTGCAGCGGCGCCTCAGCATCACTGAGCGGGTTTGCAGGGATGGATTTACAGTCACAGCGCAAATCAGCGGCTCTACGGCGATAAAAACAGACGGTATTCACCGCTGACGGCCGGACAGCGCGGGAGAGCTCTGAATTTCTCCATTCCAGAGTCATTTTCAGTCATTCCTGACTGCTGTGGGAGACAATGTCTAGACACAGACATAGTGTTTCAGAGGTGTGGACCGTGGAGACCTCTGTCCAGAAGCCCTGTGTGATTCCTCCGGACTCCCTGGTTAGAAGCCTTCCAGGTAGTGTCCTTTATTAAGGTGAGACATTGATTATTCTCCTTCTTAAATGCCTGAAGATGTTACAAATATACAGTAAGGTGCTCATCTGTCACCCACATGTGACCAGACAGTCAGTACCTGGCAGAAACACCTGCATCCAGCAGCCTCCTGAATGAGATTCATTAGGGTTGTTGTATTTTCCACCTACATGCTTTGCTTTACGCAGGTGTAGTTTGCTAGGAAGAGTAGCAGTGATTCAAAGGGGCCGTTTGGTTATTCATCAGCTGCTCGGGTTTCTGGTGCCGTTGCAGCAGTCGTCATGACTAAGCCATGACCTTGCTGGATGAATGCTGCTTCTGATATAACTGTGAAAAGCGTGTACGCTGCATCTGAGCGCTGACGGAGTCCAATCATGCTCATTTTCCTCCCCTTTATCTCCTGCTTCTCTTTCCCTGAATGTTCATGAGGATGAAGCTAGGGCAGGAGTTCTTAGACTACTGTTGTCCAAAACAAAAAAACAGTCCAAACTGGGACATTATTTAGGAGCTCTGAGCCAACTGAGCTGAAATCAAATGAAATCAGAAGTGCATTGTTGCAAATACTGCCCAGTAAAGTTTATTCATCTCACTTGTTACAGGTAGCCTGTTGGAAAAAGGACCCTGACTTGGCAATGCCGTTCTTCTGTGGCCTCCTGCCAAGGGCTTCGCCTCTCGTGGGATGAGTTAGTGGCCTTGATTTTGAGTCGCCGTGACCAGATGGTGTGCAGCGAGCGAAGCTCGGGCACCTCGGTGCCCAAAAAGGAGCCGCAGAGCCGTCGCAAGAGGAAATCTCGTCCCCAGGGCCTTCCATCCCCGGCCTTGTGCTGCGCCTGCGGCCTGTGCATCATGCTAGCGGGCATCAACATCACTCTGGTCGGCGCCTTCGCTTTTAGCACGCTGATGCCCTCCGGCAACCCTCCCATCATCATCGGACCCATCCTCCTGCTGGTGGCCTTCACCTTTTTCGGCGCTTGCTGTGTCTGCAGCCGTCTTCCGCCTCCGCAGGGCTCCCGCCGGTCCAAAGGGGGCGCCGGAGGTGGCGGTTTGGGCTTCATGGGGCGGGGAACGGGGCTGGGAAGCGGGACGGCGGCGTTTGAGATCGAAACTAGCGAGCACACCATGCAGGATACTACAGCCGTGCAGCTAAGCCCGACAAACTCCCCCAGCAGCTCCTCGCATGGCTCCAGCCCGGAACAGGAAGCTTCAGCCATGGCTGCTAACGCTAACATCCCAGCGCCGGACTACAACACACCCTCTAGGTCCTGCAAACTCTTCACCATGGAGGCTAACGGCCCTAGTTCAGCCTCGGCCACTTTCTCAGCCTCCACAGGGGGCGGGGGAGCGGTCAGGCTAACTTTGCCCTCTGATGGTGCGGCTACCTAGCATGGATGAGGCTAGCAATCCTGGGCCACTTACGGAAAGCTAACAAAGTAACATATAAGGAGCTGGAATTGACATTAATAAGTTAACGTTCAATGTCAGTGGCTAGCCCATTGAATCATTCAGGCTAGCAAGACCCTGCGACTTAGGAGAGCTTGCTTACTCTGTTGAGCTGTAAATACAATGAGGTTGGTTAGCGCAGTGGCTAACACAGTGGATAACGCCACACAGAAGATTGAGAGTTTGATTTCCCATCCAGGCAGGGATGCTACACCAATGCGAATAGGAGTCAGTGGGCTAGACTCCCAATACTACATTCGACTAGCATAATAAGCTCTGGATAAGAGCATCTGCGAAATACGTAAATGTAAATACAGCGTTCCAGGATGGAAAATGGCACTTTGGGGAGCCGCTTTGTGACCACAGGTGGTTTGTGGAGACTCTGCTTTGGATTAGGTCCACATGACGCTCGGTTCCACGGAGAATAATAGCCGCACCGTGTCTGCGAAACGTATTTAAAGGGTTTTTTTGGAAGCTCCCCGTGCAGAAAGCCCAGACGGAGGGCTCTTCAGAAGGTGAAATTTCTGAAGCCTGCTTCACATGTTCGCATTGTGCCACTGTTACTCAGATTATTCACAGTTATGGCGCTTTGGACACAGACCAAGACGAGCGAGAAATACGCTGGTGAGCCTGTTAGCGTGTCATTACTCAGACTGAGAGCAGATTAGCCAATTCAAAGCGTCTCACGTTGTTTGAGGAGCACAGTTTTCCCCCCCATAATGTACAGTTTCACTTGAATCAAGCCAGTGTTTGTTGAAATGAGTTGTCCTGTAGTGAAACGTTCCTCAGTAGGTGACTCAAAACGGCCACCTTTGATATCTTGCTCGTTGGAATCTCAAATAAGCCGTGACACTGTGTTAAAACACTGCCGTTTTCTGAAGGAGTCATCCGAGCGTCACAGTAGCTGCATATGGGCAAAGTGAATGAAAGTCCAATTTGAATAATAATGCATGCCATCTCTCATTTAGCCGCTAAAACAGCCATTGTAAACATACTGTATTAGCTAAAGAGAGATGTTGGGCTGTGTAGACACTACTATTTTAGTCAGCTTCACTATTTTGTAACATGAGTCATTCCCAAACTGAGACATTATCAAGGAGCTAAAAGCCAATTGACTGAACTGAAATTCGAATGAAATCGGAAGAAGCCTTCACTGTGTTGCGAATACTGCCAAACGAAGCCATCTTATTCTGCTCCCCGATCGATAAGGGCTGTAAACACTCCGTTCATCTGAAGATGCTTTATGTGACAGTGTCTGTCTATGGCAGTGTTGCATGGCGACTGAGTGATTTATTCATTTATTTTGTGTTTGATTTCATTCAGATTCCTCCGTTCTGCCCTCGTTGCCCTCTGGATCAAGTTCTATGCTTTGTTCTTACAAATTCTGTCCGTCAGCAGCGACACTTTGATATTAACACAGCTGCGCCCATAAGGAAAGGGCACAGGGGAGATATCATCCGCTCATTACAGCGATTAATCACAAAAGATACGCTGTCTATTGGAAAATAGCAGCAAATCATCGCTGTTATAAGAAAACCTCCTAACTAATTTGTACATTTGAAGGCTCTAGCTTCCCTTTTGTGTGGATGTTTAATGAAAAGTGGACCAAAATTACTTGTCCATTGGCTACATTAAAGGGCCCATTTCCTACATTAAGTCCACTTATGACATTTTTTAGAATTAAACAGGCTGTTTTTATTATAATTATTATAATTATAATTTAAAAATGACTGTTGCTCTTTACATTGTGTGTAAATTTCATGACGAATGGATCAACTGAAACGGCCCAAAAATACTTGGAAAAACGTCTGGTTCCATTGACTTACATTAAAAGTAAAGTATGTTTTTTCCTTCTCCTGTAAAGTTACCATTTTGGTGATATACGGTTTTGTTCTGACAGCAGTGATATATGTGTATATTGGTTTTTGTGATGTCACAAAAGCAATGAATTTGAATTGGGCTGTTTCAGATATGGACTGGACAAGTTAAACAGTGTTTACCTACTACGTCTAACTGAAAAAGAATTGATCTTCCATAATACAGGCCCTTCAAGTTTAAAATGTTTTCTTAAGTTACTGTTTTGGCGATATAAGGTTTTCTTACAGCAGTGATGAGAGGCTATATAATCATATATGTAATGAATTGAGACAAAACAAACAAACCAAAAAGGGCTGATCTATTAGATTTACAATATTCAGCGTTTTATGGGTTATTTCTTTCATTCTGATTGATATTATTGGAATGTAATTTGTTCTTCGTTGCCATGAGTATTTAGTCAGTGTTGTATTTTGAGTCTTTAGCCAAGTAATGGATTGAATTGCTTGTTATGGAGATTATGTTACTACACAGGAGTTTAAAAAAGTGTCCTTTGTCTGTGTGTGAACGTCTGGGGTTACAGTCTTCACAGTGGCCCTTTAAAGCCACAGAAACAGAGCTGAAACGTTCATTCACTTCTGATCCAGCACCGACAATAAACCCACAAACTGTTCTCAAGGTTCTTTTTCCTCAAAGGAGAGAGAACAGTTCAATCTGCAGCACCAGCGAGAGTCAGTACAACCACACAGTGGACAGTGCTCACTTTGGTCCCGATGCTGAATCAACTTTTTACAGTTGCTCACAAGCATTTTTAAAATTCTCAGTGCATTTATTAAAGCTCTTCACACAGTTAGCCTAACAGCACTTTGAGCGTGATTTTCAGTGTCAAACCGTGACTACTAGCGTTATGCTTTCAGTCTGGGCCACAAATGTCAAAACATGGTCACATACATGGAAAAAAACCTCTATGATAATGCTAATTTTTGCCAGCACCCCTATGAGATTCCAGTAGAATGTTAGCACTAAGCTAATAGCAATGAGCATGAACCTTTCTTTGGCAGTTCTGGATTAAACTTGGACATTTGAAGCTTGTAAAAGTCATTCCATATGTTTTACATTGAAACAGACATATATATGAGCACATATGTATCAGTTTTACAGTGACTATTTCAGTCAATTTTCCGGGCCTAGGACTTCTGCTGCTGTTTTCCATTCCTAGCAACTACCCGAAACCTGCTTACGCTACGGCTCGTATTCACAGCCAGTGATGTATCTAGAACTTCCAGAAGACTCAGAGTGATGTTTTCACTCGCAAAATTGCTCCCATAAACATGACTTGTCGATTCCTCTGTCGCTTCCTAATTATGCTGGTAGTTAATCTAACATGTAAGGCCTTCAGTCCAGCTCCTGAGGTTCCTAGCCAATGGGAGAGCTCGCTTGGCTGTATCGACTTAGATACCACAGAAGGAAAACAATACTGATTGGATCATTTTCTCCTGAGTGTTTTAAGGATTCAACCCTTTAGTTTCCAGCCAAAACTTAACAATGAAGTAAGAGTATTACTAGTTTTATGGTTTTCGGAACCTGCTTAAGATCAGTACCAGCAGGACCTTTTGGTACTCGAGGGGGTTCTTCTCTGTGTTTGGTAGCACTTGCAGCTGAAGCTAACAACAATTTAGTGAATTATTTACTCTTTGTGGATAAGACAACGTCACCAACCACTGCTACTTTTCCAATACGAGCCTCAGAATACAACTTAGATCCCTGATAACAAGAGGATAGTGGACCACTGTTGGCCCGCTGACGGCAAAGCTGGTGGTCCACTGGTGCTCAGTGTTTTCTGGGCGGCCCACCGGTGGCTAAGCAGAGTGTTTCCACTCATAGTCCAATTTTCTTATTTTTCCTTTCTTCTCTTCTTTACTTACACTTTGTAAATCAGTTTAGTAAATCATTTTAATCTAGCGCAGAGTCAGCAACAACATTTTCTATGAGGTAATTTTATATTAGGCCTAATTTTTTTTTTCTCTAAATTGTTTAATATTTGTCTTTCATTTTCCAAAATAAAAGCCTCTGTGCATTTAAAATTTGAGGAGTTTAAAAACCAGTTAGAGCTTCCATGCGGACCTATATATGCTCGCTGTCCGGGATGATGATGTATCGATTGTTATTTTTAGAATTATTACTTTATAAAGCGTTAGGGTTAGAAGCTGCTGCTTTATGCCAGCCTCTATAGAATCAATGTTTTTGCTCATAGTGTCACATTTGACGGAGAAAAATCAAAGTTTTATTTGATTCTACAGAAGTCTGTGTAACTGTAGACACTTGTGTGAATGTGTGAGCACATTATGTCATTTAATGTTGACACAAATAATGTTAAGCTAAGTTAACCAGAAAGCAAGATAGCCAGTTAGCCTGGACGCTTTAGTCTTGGACACATGACCAAAGAAAAAATACATTAATCATAGTTATTGTGATGGTTCTGTTCTGGTTCTTGGTTTTGAATGTACATCGTCTGTTTGTTTTAGCTGATATGTAGTCATAGCTTTTTAGCTTATTAGTTAGCTTAGCTTAACACTGTTCTGAAATGAGATAGCGTACTGCAGTTTTCCACACAAATGTCTAAAATTAAACTCAGTCATGTTTATAAATAAGCAAAGTTTAAAATAAGAGCAAATATACTTGTTCTGTGGAGGCAGGCATACATTCTAATTAGGCTACTCTTAGCTTGCTAACTAGCTAATTGCAGCTTAGCGAACTCCTTACGAAGTAATCATTCTAAAAAATAGCAATCAAACATAAACTTACGATTCTAGCTTACATTCTGGTGCTCTTATTGGTGATTTAACAGTGCTTGGTGACTTTATCTTCCCCTGGAAGAGTAAAGAAAGTGCTAAATTGTCATTAGCTTCAGTGGCAAATGTTACCAAAGACAGAGAAGAGCACACCCAAGTAACTTGGTCCTGACTGTATTGATCTTGAGCAAATACCAAAAACCATGAAACAGGTTTGGTACCGGACTGTTCACAAATACTAATAGAACCTTAATCAAACCCCAACAAAATTCTTATATTTGGGTCATTTTCCATTTAGAGGGGAAACCATGTCACAAAAGTTGCAGGTGTTTAAAAGATGCTTAAAATATTAGGCACAGCTCCAAAAGTCAGTGTGTACATTTACACAGTTGACCTGAGATTAAATAACACTTTTCCCTTATGATTCTCTGAT